GAGCGCACATGCCCTATAGCAAAAACCTCTCCAAAAAAAAAAAAAAGAATTATTTTATTTAACTTTACTTATTTATTTATTTCAATTTGACCAGAGAGGAATAGAGTGAGAGAGAGAGAGGGAAAGTGAGAAAATAAGCCGATAGGTCTGGTACTTGAACTATGGTTGGCCACGTGGGAATCCAGCACCCCTAACCACCACACCACCTGCCAGCCTCTAAACTTTCTTATTCTTTAGGCTTATTTGAGCAAATAACAAGCAGGGATTTCTGTTCTTTACAACCAAAAGCACCATAACTGACACACAAGTAAATACTGATGTCGATGATGTGCATTTCTGGAAACCTATGCTTCTCCTATGGCAACAATCTCAACAATGAACTCTTCTTAGTCATGTGACACTAAGCCTCAAGCTCAATGTAAACTTCCAAAGAGGTCCCAAACCAAGAGTCCACCAAGTGATACCCAGGGGCGCATTCCTAAACTCAGAGGTACTTGGCTCCTTTTCCGAAGATTTAAGTCTCATTTTTCCCAAAGCTGGCAAGAGAATAAGGATAAGGAAAGATGACCTTATATTGGTCTTGGAGACAGCAGGTAGAGTAACACAGAACCCTGGTGTGCCCCATGTGTAGATACTTATAGATGTCTGCCTTCAGAAAGCCAAAAAGACTAGACCAGCAGATGCCATAATGTTTATGTCACTGGACTCCCACATAGTTGACCCACAGTTTGAGTCCTGGATCCAGTAGCTTAAAACTCATGCCAGACACATGTGTGTGTATGCCGAAGATCGCTGGAGGAGAATAGAGGAGAAGGAACTGCAGCGTGGTCATTCCCCTAAGAGGTGATTTCTTGCTTTCTGTCTCTCTGTCTCTCTATGTCTCTCTGGTGAGCACATGCACCCTATAGCAAAAATCTCTCTTAGAAAAAAAAAAAGAAAAGAAAGCCAAAAAGTATAGTGTTCCAGCCTCTTCTGGAAGTGAGAGACTATGGAATATGTGGCACAACTTCCCTGAGCCCTACAGATACCACCTCTGGATACCCAGAGGGCCCACTTATAATCACTGGGGTTTCCCTCACTGAGCATCCACATTCCATGGTAATTCAGCATGAAAGCCATACCTCATACCGATGTCTGTGCCTTTCTTCAATAAAAGGAACATTGCCATAAAGTTTCCCTGTAAAGACACAAGAGTGAAATTAATACTGGAGTAATTAGCTTTAGAAACACATCCAGGGCATAATTATGCATGGAGGGAGCCTCGCTAATCTCTACCAGTCTATCAGGAGTCTAAAGATGAACCAGACTCCATGTAGGAATCTAGATTCTCTTCTCTTCTGGTAAAGGACAGTGATAGCTTCTTGGAAACCATGAAACCATTCTCAAGTAAGCCATCACCACCAGGGAAGCTCACTGTGATGCAAATCCACCAGGGAATCCGGCAGGTCTGGCCTCCTTCAACACACCTGCCTGCAGGACTGACAGACTGTTAAATGCACAGCATTGCTTCAGTGCAGGTTCATAATAAGGCTCAGTTTACCAAAAAAGGAAACAAAACAGAGGGAAGGAAGGTGACTTGCCCCAAACCCCCCACTGCTGGACAACATAGTCATTCATGAGCTCAGGGCTCCTCACACCCAGCCCAGTGCTTTCTTCAATACCCCAGGCCTTCCGTATAGTCACACAGCACTAATCACATTAATCTATGTCCGACCTTAAAAATAAACCCATTCTTTGACCTTAAAATTCAACTGTTAAGAATTTACCCCAGAAAATAGAAATGAGAACAAAGATTTAACCACAAAGATGCGCACTGCCACATTATATAACAAACAACTAAATGAGTTGAGCATCAAGAACAAAAGCCTAGGGCTAGCCCCATAGTGCATCAGTTAAGTGCTGCATATAGGGAGCTGAATCCCATGTAAATTACCACTGTTTGAATCCATGCATATGTGTATGCATGCTCAAAATCCTGACAGGATGGAGAAATGAAGAAGGGATTGTAGCATGACCACCTCCCATTGTGGGGGATGCCTCTTTCTCTCTGACCAGTACACAGTGGTAGAGAGTTCTAGCAACTAAAGAAAAAGGAATGGGGAGTCAGCAGGTGATGTGGTGGATAAAGGCACTGGATTCCCACATGGCAGACCATGGTTTGAGTCCCAGATCGGGAGGCTTGCTTTCTCGCTTTCCCTTTCTCTCACTCTCTCTCTCCCTCATCAAATTAAAATAATAATAAAAAGATAATAAATGGAATTAAATAAATAATTCTTTAAAAAACAAAAAGGAAGACTAGTGGATTAAATGATAGTGCACCTGTACCAACAGCTGCTAACCAGCATTGTGTGGGTGAGGATCATCTGTGGAGCTGCTTAAACACACTCACATAGCTGAGGTACTGAGGCTCAGGGCATCATCTTGGGTGTAACCTATTTGGTAGCGGGCACAGTGATGAGTGAGATGCCCCAGTGTCAGGTGAACAGAAGTCAACCATCACTAAACACTCAAGAACAGCCCTACTAAAGCATGCAGAGAAGCAGGATGGCCCAAGGACAAGTGGGTTATGGCACTGGGGCAGTCTGAGAGCCAGTGAATACTCCATACCACCAGCTCTCAGGACACAGACCAGGCACACAGTCCGGGGACACAAAGACCTGCCAACAGTCTTGGAAGTCATCTTCGAGCTCCAGAAGATTCGGGAGCTGAGCTCAGTTCAATAGGCAGGGGATTATTAGACTCTTGAAGAACCCAGGAGGTTGAAATAGGATGTTTCAACCAGAAGAGACCAATAAATGCCTTGTGTCTCATTTGAGCTTTTGACTTGCATCAAGCAAAGGCAAATCAGTTGTATTTTCATATGACTCTTATGTGGGTCAATGATCACAACAGAACTTCTATTGCCATACAGACTGAGATCCCTGGCCATGATGATATGAATGATAGTAAATATTTAAAGTATATGTTTTAGAAAAAAAAGGGGAATAGAGTGGTAGAGTGGTGGTGAAGGCAGCTGGATCCCATGTGACCAACTGTGCAGTTCAAGTTCTGCACTTGGTGACATGAGTGACATTCTGGGCACATGTGTATGAGTACCCAAAATCCCAAAAGGAGAGAGAGATGAAGAAGAGATTGCGTGACTTTACCCCACATGGGGTGTGCTTTCTCAGTTTCTCTCCTTCCTTTGCCCCCCAGAAATACACACACCCTCTGGCAAAATTAAAAAAAGAGAGAGAGAGAGAAACAGACAGACAGAAAAAGAGAGAGGAATAGTGGGGGCAGGGAGCTCCTTTGAGAGACTCCTACATGCCACTGAGAGGAGGTCACTCGGGAAAGCCTTTGTATGAAAACAACTTTTGGGTCATAAGAACTAAATTAAAGGAAGGCCCAGTCATGGTGGCACAGGCAGTAGGGTACCACTGTGTGATCCTGGGGCCATATGGGAGACCCCAGGTTCAGATCCTGGATCACCATGTGTGCCTGTGATCCTGACTGTGGCAGAAGGGATTAAAGCATGGTAAGGTACCCTGTGGAGGGTACCTGTGTGTGTGTGTGTGTATCTCACTCATTCGATAAATAAATTAACTTTTTAAAGAGTTATTCTATTTTATTTTACTTATTATTTTTTTAATTGGTTATAGGGTACACGCACTCACCAGAGAAAGAGAGAGTAAAATTGAGAAAGCAAGCCACCAGGTCCGGGACTTGAACCATGGTCAGTCATGTGGGAGTCCAGCACCTTAATTGCTATGCCACCTACTGGCCCAATGAATAAACTTTTTAAAAATGTAATGAAAAAATGAGAAACAAAGCACAATAATACATAGTTGGGAAACATAGAACTATATATATCATCAGGAAGTTACAGGAAAGAAAGTTCAAGATCTGTATTTAACTTTGAGAGGATTCTAAGTCTCCCATGACCTCTGACTCTCTCATTGATCTTTTCTTCTTATAGTTCAAATTTTCTCTTCTGCTTCCTTTATTAAGAAAGGTAGCTTAGCAAATTGAATAATAGTGTCTGCCAATACAAACAGAGCTGGTGAAGGAAATGGCCCGGTCTCAAATTAGGACACTAGGAATTATATCTTAAATCATTGGGTCTAGCAGGATATAGTGTGAACTTTTTTTTTGGAGAGATTTTCACTGTAGGGCGCGTGCGCTCGCCAGACAGACAGAGAGAGACATAGAGACAGAAAGCGAGAAATCACCCCCCAGGGGGAATGGTCACGCCGCAATCCCTTCTCCTCCATCCTCCTCTCGGGATCTTGGGCACGCACGCACACGCGCCCGGCGTGAGTTTTTAAGCCACCGGGTCCAGGACACAAACCACGGTCGACTTCGTGGGAGTCCAGCGACATAGCCATTACGCTAACTGCTGGTTCCCTAGTGTGAACTTTTCAAACTGCCTAAGTGCTGCCTAGCTTAAGGTCAACTCTGCTCACTAAGGTACCTCAAAGGTGAATGGGAAGCAGGTGGGGAGGAGCAGGGTGATGGACCCAGATTGCCTGCATGCAATTCCACTACCGCCATCTTCCACTAATTCACCA